GTCGCCCACTCCCTCCAACCTCCTCCTCTACCCTGCTCCCACCGACCCTTCCGTCCTCCTCGTCAGCCCCTCACCACCCCTCCCCCGGTCCATCCCCACCCATAAGGGAGTGCCAGGTGCCCCTGCTGGAGAAAAACTCCACCCACTCCCACCTGGAGCCCCACCGAGATGACTCGTACCTGCTCCGAGCTCAGCCCTCCTCCACGGGTAAGAGAGTGCTCCATTCCCTCATCTCTCCGGGTTTTTTTTTTTTATCTGTTCATATAATTTGTGTGTACATTCATCTCTGGGTGGGTGCATTACATCATCACGTGTCCATTCACTGATGTGATTTAGTGTGTGTTCAGGAAAATGCCAAACAAATATTTGCTTTAATCGAATGTTGCTTCTTGTTCTCGTCTGCCCATCGCTACATTCCTCTGGAGTCAGCGTTTGTTTGAAACGCTGAAAATTAAACCGCAGCAACTTTAGTCGTATTAAAGAAAAACAGATTTCTCTCTTTGGGCTGAAGCTTTATCAGTTATTAAGTGGTCATAATCAAATACCTCGTAGCCTGGGCTATTCAGCGAGTCAATGCTTAAATAGTTGATGTTTTTGATGGATTATTCTCCGATCATCACCCTGCCGCCTTTTAATCACTCAGGAGGAAAAGAAACAGTGATGCAAGTAAAAGCAACCTCTGCTCTCTGCCTCATGCGGATGACAGCTAGCTGCTGTGCTTGTACTTATCTTGCGTATGACATTAATAATCCAGCTGAAAGCGAAAGGTACGGGGGGTGATGAGTTTTAGATGCCGGCATTGCAAAAGACCAACTAGCTAAAGCCGCATGATTCTCCCTTCATCACCAGACTCTGTTTTTATGCTCGATGACACGGGCGCTTAAATCTGCACCTCAGAAGGTATTTTCCTCCCTCGCAAACACAAACATCCACAGTGGTGAGTCTGTGCATCAGTCTGGGCCGGCTTTCGGCTCCCTCTCTTCCCTCCGTCCCCGCTCTTCCTCTGTGCATGTGCACTTGTAATCAGCAGATATATTTAGCCGAGTCCTGATGGGAGGGAAGAGGGGTGGGCAGAGAAGTCCTAATGTGATTTTTGGTGGAATACAATCTATTGTTAATGGCGTTAGGCTCTCCTTTGATCCAGTATAAATCTTCATTAGGGAAGGCCCGGGTCCCAGGTTCAAGAGCAACGTGATTAGGAGGCTTTTAAAATGACGTTACATCAGCCTTCTAATTGGTTTACTGTTTGCTGGGGCAACATCAATCATTAGCCCAGTAACCGCACAGCAAATAAATTCACTCTGCCACTGACACCCTAATGGCAGACACCGGCAAAGAGGGAGAGCCAGGCTCGCAGGCCTCGTCTCTCTCTTCTTCTCATTGCTGTTCGCACACACCCACACTTTCTGTTCCAGGGCTTCTCTCCGTCTCTGCCGAGCGTGTACGCGCAGACCGAGAGCAATAACCAGCCAGACGGGAGGGGAAAAACCTTCAGAGGAGCAGGAAAAGGAGCCGCAACGAGGCAAAGGGGAGCAGAGATTGAGAAAGTCAAACTTTGACTTTTGAAGCTGTTTAATGAGACATCTTGGATGAAAAAAAATACATCAAAAAAAGAGAGAAGGGGGGGGGGTGAGAACACCCAATGTAAAAATAGATGGAGAAGGCGACTGAAAGGGAGATGGAGAACAAGATGCCTGTGAAGTCAAAAAGGCAACGAAGAAGAAGAAAATGGGTAAAGCGATGAGAGCTGAGAGGGTGAAAGATGGAAGGAGAGAAGCACTGAGACGTGTTTCCCAGACAGGACCACAGACCTAATGGGTGCAGAGAGAGTCCTTGGCTTTGGGCATCCATTAAAATCCACCTAAATGAGTTTAGAGTGGCACGTCTGGCACTGCATAAGCATTCCCTGGCATGTAGGAAGGCACGGGAATGGCTGTGAGTTGGGCACACACACACACACACACACACACGCTCACACCCAGAAACAGCTTCTGCATGTGTGTGTTTGCAGTTATCCTGTAGAGATGGATGCTGGGCAGGAAATGAGCAGAAACTGACCACAGTGAGCTAATTCTCAGGAAGCTACATGCTGTGTGTGTGTGTGTGTGTGTGTGTGTGTGTGTGTGTGTGTGTGTGTGTGTGTGTGTGTGTGTGTGTGTGTGTGTGTGTGTGTGTGTGTGTGTGTGTTTAAAGTAGTCCACCATTACCTAAGGTGGACGGTCGTGAGTCGTGATCCCAATGAAGCGTGTCAGGTGAAAGGGGAACGGAGCGCCGTTGCCGGGGATTGGCAGGGAACCGGCCCGCAACTGTTTATGTGGGAATACGGTTTGGCTCGGAGCACCTGTCTGGGAATGCTCCCTCGGAACGCCAGGGGATGGTGGCGTTAGTGGAGCCACAAACGAAGCGTAGCAGATCGCTCCTGGAAAGAGCTAGCGTTAGCGCTGTCTCTGTCCATTCATTATGCATGAGGAGCATTGAGCTATTTTTACCCTGAGCCTCTCCTGAAGTGGCCAGCGTTCTGCTGCGAGGGAAGCCACCGCAAGTCACCGCAGGAGCGATGAATGTTTAATGGCTTTGTTGAAACAAATCTGCAGAAAACAAAGACACACTCCTCACTAATGCTATTCTTCCTAATGGTGCTTATGCAAGGGTGACATTTGCGTAACAGTGAGATGATCTGTGTGCGTGTGTGTGTTTGTGGAGGTTGAACACACACATGCATCCCTGCCCATGGAGTGTTTGTTTCTGGCTGAATTTGATGACTCTTCTCTAGCGGATTATTGCCTCCTAATTAGACAGAGATGACTAGCCAAGGCAGAGGCAGTGTGTGTGTGTGTGTGTGTGTGTGTGTGTGTGTGTGTGTGTGTGTGTGTGTGTGTGTGTGTGTGTGTGTGTGTGTGTGTGTGTGTGTGTGTGTGTGTGTGTGTGTGTGTGTGTGTGTGTGTGTGTGTGTGTGTGTGAGTGTGAGTGTATGTGTGTGTGTGTGTATGTGTGAGTGTGTGTGTGTGTGTGTGTGTGTGTGTGTGTGTGTGTGTGTGTGAGTGTGTGTGTGTGTGTGTGTGTGTGTGTGAGTGTGTGTGTGTGTGTGTGTGTTTGTGTGTGTGTGTGTGTGTGTGTGCGTGCGTGCGTGCGTGTGTGTGAGTGAGTGCGTGCGTGCGTGCGCGCGCGTGTGTGTGAGTGAGTGCGTGCGTGCGTGTGTGCGCGCGCGTGCGTGTGTGCGCGCGCGTGCGTGTGTGTGTGTGTGTGTGTGTGTGTTTAACCTCTTCTCCTGCCTATATGTTGCTATGAGCTCATTTGAATCCATGTGAGGGTTTCAGCCCCCTCTGTCAGCATGCGTGCAGCCCCGGAGTTTCACCTCAAGCTCTCCTTCTGCGCTCAAAACCTCGCAGCTCTGAGAAGAATGACAAATGAGGAGCGTGTGTCATTCTGAGACAGAGGACATGGGAAGGGGGAGCACTCGGGAATACACCTCCTTTAAGAACGGGGTGCATAGCAAACAGGGAGGAGAGGAGGTGCGTGAGAAACAACGAAGGCAGGTGCTGCGATGTCTGGAGAAAGAAAGATGGAGGTAATATGGAGCATGACATAAAGAGATGGAGAGGAAGGGGTGGGCTCTGCAATGATCCCTTTTTAAATGCTGAACGGGCATTTTTGTTGTGCACACTCACGTGCACGCACACACACACACACACACACACGCACACACACACACTGGCTCTGTGACTTTTCTCTGTTAACCACAGAAAATGTCAATAAACAGTTTGTTCTTCCAGGGCTGCAAAACAATCTGCCTTGGTAGGTTCCTGCTGCCAGCTGGCCACACACTCACACACACACTCACACACACACATGCACTCAGACAGAAACACACTGTGAAATTAATATGGTGTGGCGAGCCCCTGCCTCACACTGCCGTGCCCGTGTGTGTTTTTCTGTGCACGCAGCGATGCAGGTTAGCAGACAGGCTAATGCTCCTCTTCCAAGAGGGGCTCCGTTGAATTGGCGAGCATAATAGACTTCCAGGGATTAGCCCGAGCCAGACTTGCCAGCTTACAGCCATGGTCCCCCCACAGCCGCCCCCGCCTTCTCCAGTCACAGGAGACCTTGGGCGGGATGAAGTGGCTCGGGCTTCAGCAGGAGTCGGAAGGGCTCTCTACCTCGCCACAAAAGGTGACAACAAAACAGAGAAAATCTTTTCATGATCAGAGTTTGCTTACATGAGCGAGTGACGGAGAGATGAAAAGGGGAGGAAAGGATAAACTCGAATAAGACGTGATGTGCCTGGCTGCCCGCTAATTGCTCCGTTTCCTAGTTGCACATTTGGTCTTTTATCAGACCAGGTTCCTCCTGTGTTCCCATTGGTCTATTAGTCTCCTATCTTAACTTATTGGGCCTGTTTACCTGTACCCATACTGAGCCCTGCATCTGTTCCACAGCTTGGCTGGATTTGTGTTTGTGGGGCCAAAACGAGCTGTCGACATGCACCGTGTGAGAAAGTGCCTTGGACGTAGGCCTCGTTCCTCAGGCGGCACCACTTCTCAATATATTTCTGTTTCCTACAGCAAGCTGGAGGCTGCTTTTATGGATTGTAAGAATACATTTCTTTGGCATCAATTTCTTGTGATGTTGCAGGAAAAATAAGCAATTTATCACGAATCTTTTGCAACAAAAATCTCTCTTTTTTTTACCACTGATTAAAATTTTAGCTTTGAGCTAACACTTTCGACAAGATGCTTCTGCTCTTAAAAGTTTCTATATGACTAACTGGTTACAGTTTAAACCACTTAATTGTAAAAATTATTCATATAGTAAAGAATAAAATATATATAGTCGTTGTTTCTACCGTCTGACAGCGCAGCTAAAGAAGAAAGAGAGGCACCGAGTGAGACTTTTCTCAGAATTTACATTTTCTTGACATTATCGGGCTCGCTTGATGATGCGTAATGGGATTTTTCCTCTTTGTGCGTGTGTCAGTCAGCTGTAATGTCTGTATTAGAGAACGTGATAGATCAAGTCTCTGCCCTTGCTTCAGATGGTGGCTGGAAGCTTCTCTCTCATTGGTGCACGGTGCCTACAAATGACACGCACAAGCTGAGAATAATACCCATAATTCAAGGAACCTCAAGTCACCACAGTTCATGTGACACGCAGTTTGTTATTCGTCTGAATTCAAAACGCGGAAAGTTTAGTTTTGAAAGGAGAACAAAAGGAAAATGCATCCATGTTTTGAATATTCTTAATCGCTGGAAACAGCGTGTGTGTGTGTGTGTGTGTGTGTGTGTGTGTGTGTGTGTGTGTGTGTGTGTGTGTGTGTGTGTCTGTCTGTGCCTGTGTGTGTGTGTGTCTGTGTGTGCACTGAGTTCATGCCTTGTGCGTGTGCTAGCTTTAGCTTTTCTTTCATCGTGGCGTTTTGTTGTGTGCGTCGCGGCTGAATAAATGTATTTATGGAGACAGGATATGGTGGAAGCTGCTGTATCTCACATTTATAGAGGCATTGCCCTGGAGGAGAAGTCAAGTCGAATTTAGTTTTAAAAGGCTTCTAACAAACTAGGTTTATCTCAAAAGGCTTCCCATCTCACAAAAGGACACAAACAAAATGCAAATAGAAGCAAGATGAAAGCAGAAGGGAACAATTTTCCAGAGGAAATGATGCTTCTCGTGGAAAGGAGGAGCAGGAGGAGGGCAAAGCAAAATGTAGACATTTACATTTGCTTTCTGCACGTGTGATGCAAGAGTTGGGCTATTCCTTCAGGTGTGTGGCTGCATGTGTGTTGGTGTGATGTGTGTTTGCATGCATGTGTGTGTTGCTCTCTCCCAAAGGGATTCTTGCATGTTCAAACAGATGTTTTTGGTCTCTCCTGTGTAGAGGTCTGGCCCCATCTTTCTCTCTCGTCTTCTCCTCCTCTTCTCCCCTTTCAGAAGCATCTGTTCTTCAAGGCCGCGTTGGTGACACCTGTGTCCCAGTGGTGCCGTTGAGGAATCGGGTCACGTTGTAAACTGGTTCTCATTACAGCTGCAGATGCAGCAGAGCTCACCGTCCTCTCGTCTGCTCTAAATATCCGTCTCGGGAAAAGTTCGTTTCGCTCCCAAACTGAATTTCACTATAAATTTTTGCTTGTGCGCATTTGCAAATCTGCCGTCGTTTACGCTGGTTCGGAGTCTCGTAATATCAAAGCAGGAGCGTTTTGGGGAACGCGAGTCGTCCACACGTCTCCCTTCCTCTCACACGATGTTTCTTTTCTCATCTCGTTCCAGAGAAGATGACAAAAGATGGAGGGCAAGTGTGATCACACGGGTTGACGAAGCAGTCGCTCTGTTGTTTTCATCCCAACACGTATGAGTGCATGTGTGCACTCGCTCGTGTCTCTGATCGGTACAAGAAAGGCACCGTGCAAACAAACAATCAGTATGATTTATTCCATGCCTGGAAGTGTGAAAAGGAATGATAAAAGTGCAACGTGTGGAGTTGCCGTAAGACTGAGTCAAACGTGTTGCCAAGCCAGAACCTGAAGCCAAATGTAACGTCAGTGACTCGGTGTGTTTTTGCACAAGCACGGCTCTGCATGGACAGCGGTGGAGCAAAGGCACGGACACTTTGTCACGACACTTCAAATCAGATGTTTCTTTCACTTAAGCACTGCCCAGTCGGAGTATTTTTTCAGATTTGTTTGTCCATCTGTGTGTCTTTAGCAAGACTGTGCAGATTCTAAGCGGGCAAATTTCATAAAGCTTTGAAGAAAAGCAAAGGAAGAAAACACAGTGGTGCCACCACCAAAATGGGACCGGGGGCCAACAGCCCCTCCTGTGAATATGCTGGCCTTCCCATCACAAACACTGGTGCAAAAGCTTTAATGCAAACTATTTATTATATTAATATGAATTTAAAAGGATGTGCTTTTGTCTATTTGTGAAATAAAGTTCTACTGTAAAATAAGAAACCAGGGTAGGCGTGTCAGAAGGCGACTGTCAGGGTCAGGGTGATGGGACCAGAAGGGAAGTCTAGACATTCTAGACTTGAAGTCTGGATGAACAGTAGACGAGGCTAAATGTTGTTTCTCTGCATGTCGGTTTAGCCACGCTCCGTCGGCCGGTCTGGCGGTGGGCCAGTCACAGCGCCCTATCGGTCCGCTGGGCGGGATGTTGCTGTGACTGGGTGAATCTAAGATGAAGACAGTTATTTTGAAACAGCTTTGGCATCAACTTGGACTATTTAGACTTGGGCTCTGGGTCAAGAGCAGCTCGGGGTACTTAAGTCCTTTATTTTGAAGAAGGGTGTCTCTGTGTCTTCTTCTACGGTGTATGGCAGAATGCACCATTGACTGACTGTTATCCATGAGCATGCAGACAGCTTAAAAGACAACCATAGGTCCCGCCCGACGACTGAGAGCCATCCATGGGGCCTGGCCACACTATATGTTGACATAAGTAGGAAGACTGACCGGATCTACAGACATTCCTCTTTCCAGAGACACTCCCCGGATTCAGCTGGGGATCACAAAA